AGCTTTTACCCCTCGTAACGGCGCTCCTATCTTTGTCCATTCACAACAGTTATGATGACAATTAGCAATTACACCAAGTTTTTTCTAGTTGAATCAATGAAGCCAAGTTTTTTCCAGTTGAATCAATGAAGACGACCTCATTTGTCATTTTGAGGGCACCCGATCTTTGTTGTTCTAAGCCCTACCGTTGGCGACTGGACAGTGTTATTCATCACGCGCACAATGTAATCTGGCAATCATCCCCGAGCCGCTCCCCACTGGGCAAAGAAGTCCATGCGCGGGGATGGCCCGCCTGGTGATCACAATAGAAATCGAGAAGAAAATTAGCCATTTCGCTTCGACGAGCTGGTTCCACCACGGGAAGTATCGACTGGTCACTGTTGCCCGTCCTTTCTTGGAAAATACCTGCCCCAAAGTATTATCGGGCGATCATGTGTGAGCGCACACAGCAGAGCCCTCGGCGTTAATGTGTATTCGATGTCTGACACCGTACGAAGTATCCCCTAACATGATGGTACAAAAGCAAACCAGGAGAGCTCCGGTAAATACTACTGAGCACGCTGACAGCGTTTAAAGTTGGACTGAATTTTTCACAACTGGAACTGCCCCGCCAGTGGACGCGAGAGCAAGTCCCGCTGTCTGAATCACGCCGTTCACAGTGGCTGCTCCATATCAACCCCGCCGTTCACAGTGGCTGCTCCATATCCACTTGTGGCGGCGCTCTGCCTGTAGATACTCGTAAGTAGTAGTCGCCTAGGTAGTTGAGCACATGAAAACCAGAATGAACACCAGGGCGGAGGCGTGGAAGTACCCATCAATTTGATTAAATTAAGAAGTGGCCGCTAGACGGTAAATAGGCAAGGAGTCCGCGGCCGGGTTTCGTGTTCGTAAAATTTCAATTCGCGTAGTTAATCTAGTGGACTGTTCTGTCCCCCCAGTTACACCACTAAACAATGCCTCGGGGGGGCCTGAATCTCGTTACTCATAGATGACCCAACTCTATCCCCCAGTCACTGCCACAGTGGTTATGGACTTTGCATCTGGCAAAAAGTCAAACAGAGTGCGCAAAGAGCCCGCGACCCCGAGACTTTTTAACGCACGACAGCCCTGTGCCATCACGGTCTAAGAGCGGGTGCTTTGTCATGCCCTCCGACCCAGATATAGATCGAGACTCATATTGATCTGGCAAATGGGCCGCCTAAGCCAGTTGCTACCTGAGACGCTCGACACTGTGAGTTTTCCGTAGCACATTCGTTATGACCAGCCTCCCGTGTTCAGTAGACGGACCGGGTCAATATTCCAGTCACTGGTGAGCATTTCCTTCACGCAGATTCCTCTCACGACAGCGGCGGCGAGAGCCTTCAGCTTCGACAGGCCGCGATCGATCACGCTGAGAGATTGTCCAAACTGGTGTCCTTTTCTCCTCGGAGGCCTGATCACCACCGACGCTAGTGCCATGACGCGTTTGAGCTCACTTGAAGTGAAGCAATTCGACAAAGCCGTCGCTGGCGGTGCCGAGCAAAACGCCCGTTGTGCCACCGCATCGAGGGGCTGACCTAGCAAAATGACTCAATCGTATTCATGGCCTTGAGGAGCTTTTTATATGTGTTCGCCAGTATTCGCCAGACGAAGACATTTGGAGTTGCATAGCCCGCCACAAGCAGACTTTGAAGCGCCTCAGCGTGCATTCCTGGATATGGTCCGACAATGACAAGCTGATATCGGACCGGATTTTGAGCTGAATGCCCAAAATCCGGCACACCCTCTGGCGGGTCTCAACCTCGACTGTCTAGGCCTCTCTTGCTCACCGCACTGTTTTGTAAGTAGGGGAGCGAAATCGCCCATTAACCATGCGGGCAACAAGCTGGGTTAGGCTAACTTGAACGTGTTTGCAGAAAATTGCACTGCGACCATTAATTTCTACTCCCATCAAGGTCATCCACATCCGCAGTCTTTCTTGGCCTACCATGAAAGCGGTTCCCGCGCTGTACGCAATCTTTTCGTCCGACGACGAGACAATGTATCATTTCGGCCGTAGACCACCGCTATCGGAAGATTTTCGACACTTTGCCGACTGGGCCTTTGGTCCAGAAGGCTTGAAATTATTGGAAGTTATCATTTACGGAGATGCTTCCTTTCGTGCAACAATACAAGATCAGGTTGTCATCCTCCAGCGCAATGCCACGATGCCGAACAACTATGACATTATCCGACACTAGTAATATGATGGTAGGATTGACCTGAGGCGTAACGAATTTTTGCGAGACTATTGTTACTTTCTGGAATCGTGCCCAAGCGAAGAATTATTTGGAAAATGAATCATCGTGTAACTAAGGATACGGTAACGGATACATGCAGCACATTGGGGCAGTATCTCCTTCGTTGCCAAAGTGTAACATTTTTTGGCCCCCAAATTTCGGACCCACAGGTACCAGGCCGCAACAAAATTCCCATCCCCAGCCTTTGTACTTTTTGGTCAGGCTCACGCGTAAGGCGCGTTCCCATCAATTTGTAGGGTATTTTGGCTCATTCTCGAATACAGAGATCATCAAAATGCCAGTAAGGAAAAGGAAGCATACAGAGTTCCTTGAATCTTTTGAACCAGAAATTTCAGGCAATTTGAAGCTTCAAACCCAAACTCAATAAACATGATAAATCTAGGTGCCGTTCGGTAGGCGTTACACCATTCCATTTTTGGTAATAACATCCATTTTGGGCCTTAGTTTGTCACTTCCGAGCCCGACTAAGATTATTATAATACTACTACTATATTATACTATACTATACTATACTACTAGTACTACTACTACTACTATACTAGTACTACTACTATACTATACTACTACTAATACTACTACTACTACTATACTACTACTACTACACGACTCAGCATCGTGGTATAGTGGGTGGAAGACAAGAATAAGAATCGTTTCTCCCCCCCTGTGGTCCCCATAGCTTGAAAGTCGTTCGTCACAGTGGTTTTCCTTCAAACCTACGGGAGATAGTACGGGATATTTTTTTCCCTAGTCGCGGTATCAACTTTTTCTCCCCTCGATTTTCACATTATCTCATGAATTTCCTTCCCAAGCCCCTACAGTTGTCACGATCTACGCCCGATATTGTGGCCCCGTCCGATGTGTGTAATTAGTTCATTTTGCCTCAGTTTTACATGGTCGCGGGCTCGAGGCGACTAACGTCCGAATTTGGGAGCCCGGGAATGCACAATTTGTCCTCGGTGTCGCCATTCTCCTCAATGTCGTGATTTTCCTCGATGTCGTGATTCCCCCCCTCAATGTCGTGCCTCGATGTCGTGATTGTCCCCAATGCCACCACTGCCCCCAAAGTTCCCAAACTCTCAAGTACTCAAGATCTTCAACATTTTGACGTGTCCCCCATTTCCCAACGCTTAGCGAAGTTGCAGCCGCGAGCTGTAACATACAAATCGTTTGGTATTTCGCCCCATTCCATTGCCCTCTCTCATTATGTCTACATGGTTCACTATTCTCGCCAGAGTAGCTGAGGTAGATAGAATCTCGAACTCCGCATATCGCAATGCTCTATGTGAGTTCGAGGAGGGCGATAATGACGCCACAGCAGGAGATTGGAGAAGCTTCTATATAGCATTCTATGGTGATCTGTTGGAAGCCGGGAGAGCATATATGATCCGCGGTCAGGCTCGGCTTCCGGGCAATGACGAGGCAGAGGCGCCTAAGGCGAGTATTCTCTGTTTCCGCAGACTCCTTCCTTTGACGCAGCTAGATTCTCCACCCGGCAAGTTCTCTGCTGATTGTTGTCCAGTTTACCGCCTTTGACGCTATTCCATTAATAACGGATCATCTGCCAATCCATCGGCTACGTATTAATGCGGCAGCAGAGTTGACTTGCACGCCACGATTTGTTGACGCTACTCGCACGTTCGAATTCGAAGCAAAGGTTACCGGATACTATGGTGATCCTGTCCCTCAAGCTTTACGCAATGACAAAGTTTTCAAAGCTTCGCAAACCCGTACCAAGACTCAATATTTTTACGCTGAAAGTTCTCCCAAATTCGACCGTACTCTCGGCAGTACAAACCTGCGCGCTCAAAGTAAGCTCTTCATCGATGGATTCTATACCTTTCCGGATGAGGAGACCCAGCAGCCTGGATATCTTGACCTGCTCGCCGTGTCCTTTAACTCGACCAACAAGGACCCTGGAAGTAGTACCCCTTCTGCCGCTAAAGGTGGTTCTTCGCGACGCAGAGACGTGCCACTTAAGGGATCACCTGCGACGCCGACAAACAAGAGCAAAGCGCCAGTTCCAATGACTCCGCCCAGTTCGCGTCTTCCTTTCTACAGCGAGAGTTCTGAGTCGACGCCTCATTCCGTGTCTGACACGTTTACTCCCAGAGGAGGTAGCTCCGTATCATCTCTCGCAATGGGTGACAGCAGCAGGGGGAATAGATTTGCTGATTTTGAGTTACCTAAAAGCGAACCCGAGACTCAAGACGGCCACTCTACGGTGGTATATCTTACCCCGGGTGGTTTGCAGAACAAGCACCAGGCAACTGAACCTCCTCCGGAACCTCCTTCTAAGCGCAACCGGAAGCCGAGTCAGAAAGCGAAGGAGACGTTTATTAATGATGAGCTTGAGGAATAACGATCAGTCCTTGATTTGGGTGTTTTGTTAGTTCACAACTGCAGTGATTTTATTCCTTCCGACCATTCATTATGTCTGGAGACCGGCAGCAACAATTTTACACCTATAATGCCGCCACCAACGAGCAACAAGACCGCCTGCGTATGATACGGATCCCTGTGCAGTCTTTTTTTAACGATAATAGCCAAGTACTGTTGGAAACTTTTTCCATCAATACACAAATCAACCAGCACAGCCGGTTTCCACCGGCCGACACTACCAGGGGTCGTTACGTAACAGACGATACTATTGTTGTTAATACTACAAGGGTTCGTCGTCGTCGTCATCGTTGTCATCGTAGCAACGAGGATACCGAATTTCCCTTAGCGAGATCTCGACGGCGCCGGGCGGGCACGATATTTGCAGAAGCTGAGGTGCGGTTTCGAGGTATGAGGAAAAGATTTAAGGACCGCTGGAACAAGGAGTTCCCCGATACACCGTGCGCCGAGTGCGCAACCTTGCTGCTCCCAAGGAACCGTAAACGGAGAGCATTCCAGCACAACCATGAATACGGAATCACCAGCGTGTTCAATGTTCCTGTGACTGACGACGAACCTGGTGGCGTGATTCTCTGCGAGGACTGTTGCAAAGAGCCCCGGGCGCCTATAGACTGCGGACAGGTCCCTCAGTGCATTGCTTCTCTCCCACGGCGATCGACTCTGTTCATATCCCCCTTCAAGTTGGACACAAATCTGGGGAGGACTTCAGGGTACAACTTACACACGATCCCTTATGTGTACCGAACTTTATCTGGTGTTATTAACACGAATCCGATTAACGAGCGAGCGAACATGCTCTATTCTGGCACACTTGGGGCTTATCTGCAGAGCAGCCCACATCGAGTAGACCAACACCAGAATCTTGAGCATCTAATTCATGTTCGCAATTGGCTGCTGCAAAGAAACCCCGTCTTCCAAAGGAATGACGTGCGGGCGCATTTGCAAATCGACCATCCTTTACCAACTGCGGAACTCCCTGAGAACAGCGATGAGCGGCGACCTCAAACACGCCCGGATCTTGTCATGAACCCTTTTCAGTACGACCAAGAAACAAGGAATGAGCATTTCCGATACTACAGGCTCTCCGCTGGGGCAATACAGGTCCCCGAGCGACATCCTCCAAAGCCGATGCTATATCGAACTGATCCGGATGTCGAGGTACTCTGCTTTCCGCACCTTTATCCTTACGGTAAAGGACAATTTGTACAAGGAGAGCGTCGCGAAAATGGGCGCTCTACATACACTCGCCACATGGACACAAAAAGGAAGCTCAATTCCTACAACCGCGCTTTCAGAGACGATTATTACTGGGCTGCCTGGGCATACCAAGAAATGGAAGCTACAAGAATCTTTCAGAATACAAATCGCCTTATTCATAATAAAACGAGGCAAGCTATAGACAACCGTCTTCCTCAGCATCAACTCCTACAGCAGTCGAATTATGGGTCACATTCTATTATTAGTGAAACTCTCACACATGCTATACCTGGCTCAATCCGAACTGGAGAAGCTTATTTTCTCGAAAAGGAACGCCTCGTAAACTCGATGATTTCAGGCCACGGACTCCCGCAACTCTTTATCACGCTGACTTTTAATGAAGGCTGGGAAGAATTTAAAAACATTTTGCGGTCTATCTCTCCCAGTGCCATGCCATCCAACCATCCATGGGAAGGAGTTCAATATTACTACGAGAG